ATTTAAATTTTGATTAAATTTAGCTAATCTTCTCTTCATTTCGCATGCTCCTAGTTGACTCCAAAATCCATATTAAAGTGGAGGCGAAGGTGGACTTCAAAGTTAAAACTAGGATCAGTGTTTTTGTCGAATTTCGCGTTAATTTGTTTCATAGTCACCGTTTTGTCTTTCCGCTGCAAGGCTCCCTTTGAGGGAGTGAAGGTTTAGTTCTCGTCTTGTCGATGAACATTTTCTGTGTCGATAATGTGGGAATGTGCGGGAACATTGTTGAAGCTTGTCTCAATGATACCTTTCATGTTTTTCTATTCGATTTAAACATGTTGGGTAGTTGGAGATCATGAAACGAAATAATAAGGAGGAATTAAAGTTCCTGAATACTCCTTTTGTGAATAGGTGGTGTCGGCAACTATGACTACTACTCCCAACAGTCTCAAGTCGGCGGCTATGGTAGCGGCGGTGGCGGCGGTGGTGGGGTAACAAGCCGAGGCAACACGACAACCGCTTCGACTAGTGGTAATCCTCATCTTGCGCCACCTCCACCTCACCATCCCGGTGGTGGTGGGGGTGGTGGTTACCATCCTCGCGCCTACCACGGAGGTAGTGGTGGTCAACCTCCGTTGCATCCCCCTCCACCTCCCCACCATCCTGGACCTGCGGATAATCAGGGCATTAGGGCACGCTCCTTTACTCGGGGTCCGCCCAACCGCTTCTTCAACGACTATGAGACTCAATTTGTTGTCAAAGCAAGTAACCTATGTTAACTCACCCTTTCTCTGCTTACCGCCATTGTTCATTTATGGCAGGCGTTATCTGCACTTCTCACGCAAAGCTGGAACAAGGGTTCCTTGCTTAATGGCCCGAAATGCGGTCTTTTTTTGCTAAGGTATGATAGAATGCAACACTAATCGGTAAGATTTTATGTGAATTAGCAAAGAAGGAAATAAGAAGGCAGAGTAGGAACGTTTCCATCTTTATTTTATATTAACGAACTATTTTACTGAGTTAAAATAAGTAGGGGGTTTTGCGCTTTACAGTTATTCCGTGACTTCTTCGCGAATGGGAGTTGCCCAAGCCTCAACGAGGTGCGTCGTCGAATGGCTCACTCACAATTACAGGGCCGTCGCAATGCCAACAGCGTGCGCGCCAAAGTGAAGCGACTACAGGCGAGTGGCCGATGGAAGGACTATGAGATAATGTGATGTGATGTGACGTGACGTGGCGTAGTGTGTGCCACATGATATCTCGTTCGGACTCTCCCTTTCTGCCGCCCTCTTTCCTCCAACACCTCCCTGTCCCTGTGTGCATTTGAAGTGACCATGTTCTGACCTCTGATCCCTCCTCCTCGCGCCTTTCCCTTCCCCTCTTCATTCATGTCCCGAGTGTGTTTTGCGGCAATGTCTCTCTGCCTTCCACATCTTTCGACCCTTTAAACCTGCGCCGTCTCACTCTCCCTCGCCTAATCTTTCGCTTCATACCAACCTATATCTATCACTACTCTGTTTTACTTCATCATTTCTTGTCTGTCTCTTTCCTACTCTCACCTACACACACATTTTCTTCCCTCTCTTCATTTATGCGAGTATTTCACTTCTTAAATGGGAGTAAATCATATTGTCGTGTGATATGTGATGCCCTTCTTGACAGTGCCATTGAAATGATGAGGTGAATCACCGAAATTCGATTGAGGTTTTTTAGACAGAGCAAAGAGTAAGTTCAACACCGTGTGGGAACGCGGAATGTTTTCACACTCATGTGGTTCGCTGAGATGGAAGGGCGAAGTGTTTGGTGATCTAAGCGCGAGGAAACTCTATCGATGGGTAGTGTTGAGGTTAATAACCCTTGAATCGCTGGCTTTCTCGACAGCTATAGTTACTATCTTGCTAGTACTGTCCAACTGATTTCCCTCTGTGCATGAGGAGTAAACCTAACTCTTTCACACTTTTGTGTCATACAATAGTCTAAAAATGAGAGCAATTCAGTGCTCGATGGGAGACTTAAAGTGTGTACTAGTGTCAGGTAGGGGTTAGCACCTAATTCCTCCATAAGACGGTCTGCGACGTGGACGGGTAGGTGATGCGGTGAAGACAGGAATTAGGGGGAGGTATTGGTGTTGTTGTGGTGGTATCGGGCCTGGTTGTCGGTTTTATAATATGACCATCACTGAAGCAATGCTATCTACACATGTTAAATAAGGATTTATCGTTGTTGTTATTCTACTGAATTATTTAAAGTAGCAAAATTAACAAATGAACTACCTCCAGAAAAGCATTAGTTTAGGCCAACTATGTAGAGCAGAAACTTGCATATTTGCGTTCCATCGAGTACATCATTGATTTATCCCTTGTCGTTCCACCGCCTTTGTAAAGTGGATGATGATAGTCCTCAAATTTTAGCCAAAACCTCAAGATTAAGCAGGTATTGTAAATACCAAATCAAAAGACCTTATTTATCCTTTTCCATGGTGTCTACCTGCTCGGCTTTTGGTACCACTTTGGGTGAAAGACGTCCGATTATCAAAGTATGCTTTTGCCGACAGGATCACGAGTTACACTTAGCAAATTCGCCTTTCTATTCACCAGGACAAATGTGCTAAAGTACCCATGCCCTTTGCATTAGAAGAACCAGGAAAAGTGGAATCGCCATCACTAGAGGCATGAAAACCTCCAAGAGGCGCTCTGTCGTCCAATTTTATCATTTTATCATTTGGGTAAAGATAGGTTAGATAAAACTACCCGAAAAGTTGTTGCCATAAATTTAATTCCAATCACTCAATCGTTCTCAGTGAAGACAATTGGTACTTGCCGATGTGTAATATTTTTTTGACTTGCTGCCTCAAGCAGCTTCTAGACTGAAACACTCTCCGGATAGTGCTTATAAATTGTGTAGAACTTACTATAACACGAAAAAGAGGCATTTAGGAACAGTGGCACTTATAGACCCCACATTGCCTTGGTAATTTTAACATTCGCTTAAGTTTGGCTATTCGTGGCACTATTCAAGATGCTGAGTCTCACGGAGGGCCAAGCTGAATCTGGTCGGTGGGGAGGAGCTGATTGACCTAAAGGGTAATGCGAGGCATTCACCCAGGCTATTAGCCATACCCCTACAATAGACGGCATAGAGTGCTCTCAACATTAGCAATACCAAACACTGATTTTGGCATTTGCTGTACATAATCACAGGGCTGCATGAGAAGGGGACAAAGAGGGGTGAATGGCGTCACAAATACATGAACAAGGTGTGCATCTCTCTAAAATCACTGAAGTCTGGCGACATCATTATATCTGTCCACTTATTGATGCAAATGTGAGGTGGCTTGTCATTGGGGAAACGAAAAGTAACTGGCCGACAGCACTATCAAGTCATTTGAGTGGATTAAGGAAGTAGGTCTGCCAATAATCTAATCAGTGTATGATGGACTGTTAATTCCAAATCCACGCCACTCCTTTCCTTATGGAATAGTTGGTAATGTGGGATAATAAACACTCCTATATTCTACAATAAAGACGCCTCAACTTCGAGGTGCAGTACTTCAGAAAATCTGTTTGTTGTGTGTGGCCGTGGCATGCCCAGTCCAAATAAATAATTGACATACGTGTCATTTTAAAAGAGAATACACTCCAAAGAGTGCATCCTTTACCCTAAATTATGGTGCCGCACTTTGGATTGACAAAGGACTCCAAAATGATGCAGGTGGATGTGATTCCAGCGGTCGCACAGTTCGAAGAATTACGCAGAATGCCCAAATGAAGGTACCGAGGAGGAAGTCACGCCAAAGCTGCAATCAAATTTAGGTAGGAAATCAAGTCAACTAGTATTAAAAGTCTTTACATTCCATCGGTCAGCAGTGGAGACAAATACATTTTGAAATGGGATGTAGGATGTCAAAGTTGATTAGCTGCAGCTGCGCAAAATTGAGCTGGAAAGTTACGTCGCTTATTTTCCACAGCTGGCAAAAGCGGTGCCTAGACACTCTGTAAAAGTAGTAGGATGACCTTGTACTCAAACTAATTATTTTATCATTTATCATCAATTAACTTGATCACCAAGTTGGCTACTTATTACATTACAGTAGATCGGCTTTGGGTACAAATAAGTGTTCACGATGGGGACCCGAGAAAGATCCGCAAGTTATTTTATTTTAAACTAAGCTAGTTTCACTCACCCTACCCACTCATTTCATTCGGAAGGAAACATGTATTTTGTTTAATGAAGCCAATCCCTTATTTTAGCACAAAAATATGAAGACTGCATATACGTTGAGGATTCATTCCAGGTTTCTATTACCGATTAAATGTGTTGTCAAATGGTCCCTCCTAGCGGGTATTTCGATTACAGGGGCTTGATTTGTCCATAGTAATGGAACCTTTTAGAAAATTATTCACCGTTTTCCATTGGTGATTTTTTATTTCATTTATTTCCCTTATGACTCTCAAATATCCAAAGCTTTCCTTTTCCCATTAGGATCGTCTTTTACAGCATGAAGCATCCCAAGGACAGTCATCCATTAACATTGTTCCCGTTTTTTTGGCCGCTATTAAAATTTTATTCGTTCGCCTTGGATGACAAAATCCAAATTTTGCATTTTTTAATTTTAACCTCAATTATGAGTTTTGCATTTAATTTTACCATAAGTCAAGTCCAACTTTAAATTCTGCATTTACTAGATTACGCTGAAGGTGAGATTTTTGTAGCATCAATAAAGAAATGGTGGCATTGTACATGAGTAAAGGCTAAAAATTGCAATTAAGCAAAATAAGTAATTGCTTTACCCATCTCCGTTCAGTGGGGCGATAAAAAATTTAAAAGGAAAATGATCATCACAGAACACGCATTAACGTTACCATTTTGCCCATATAGACTTGGCCATGGCCTTTTGATAATGGTGGTGACTTGGAGGGCGTTAGGCCAACAATGGAATGTGAAAGTCAACAACAATAACAATAATAATAACAACAACAACAA